GTCCAACAAGTAGCATCAAAGCATAACTATTATTTGAGGACTAATCGTCTCAGGAGAAATATGACTTTCGACACAAGTTCTTTTTTACATACACCACCATTTTTTTGAAAATAACAATTTTAATATTTTGCTAGCTAAATTCAAAAAATTTCTTCAAAGTTTAAATCATAAATTGTGGGAAATAATAGTCAATGGTACAGTTTACCCTGCTCACTAAGTAAATGATGAAGTACTGGAAAAACCATATTCTCTTTGGACCAAAGAAAAAAAGATATATATATATATATATATATATATATATATATATATATATATATATATATATATATATATATATATATATATATATATATATATATATATATATATATATGAAAATCAAGAATTTATAATAATACCTTAAGATGATAGTAACTTTTATAATATTCGCCATTGTAAAACCGCTAAGAAAATATGGGATATCCTAGAAAAGATATATGAAGTTACTCCAAGTATCAAACAAGAGAAGATGAACTCACGAGGTGAAGAAGATGTAGATACTAGTCATGAATGTTTTTCCAAATTTAGAAATATATGAAATTTTGTTGGAAACTTTATTACTAACAAATATCTAAGAATTAAGAATTGAAAATTTAATCCAACTCTTAAATCATTTGATGAGAGTCTTCATGAATTTCAGGAAAAATTAAGAAAGAAGGAAATCATAGAGAAGATGAACGAGCTAGTTCAAATACTCTCGTGCAGTCCTTCAAAAGAATATACTTTGTAGTTGAATGATCTTTAGAAGATTCAACATCAAATGAAGGATCCTCTTGTTCAAGAAACGACAAAGAGATGAAGAAGTTTCTTCAAAATTTGAATAAAGAAGAGGATGTGAGACATTAACCTCAGGGAAAAACATGAAAGAATCTTCGCCCGACGAAGAAGATAAAATCTGCTCAAAGGCATCTAACGAGGGATATCCTTTTTCATGATTTGAAGAATCTAAGAAAAATAAAGATCTCAGAAAATAAGTTTTCAATATATAAATGCACTCACTATAAGAAAATTGAACACTTGAAATTCTTTTAATAAATTTAAAATATCTAAAGGTAATAACCTTAGATTCTTTGTGACTATTGCACATGGACCTAAGAAGATGATATATGAACCAAAGGTTAAATCTTAAGTGTTTTGCAGGTATGCTTTGTAGCTTGAAGCTTTAATGATTATTTGAAAATTTTGTGCAAATCACCAGTATACTCTAGAAGCATACAAGATTTATGAAAGTCTCTAATCCCGAAGATGAACGATGATGGCAAATATCAACCGTTGTGATTAAAGCAACATATTTTAAAGTATCTAAAAATTGATGATCTGAAATAACCAGTTAAATGAATTAGCCTATAATATATTAATCCATTTTATGGATTTACCGACTCTTACATCCAATGATGCATGTAGGAGGATATACTGTAAGTTATTCTCCCTTTTGGGAAATAATTGTCATGATTTTTCAACAAGGAGGTACACTGATTATTTTGAGGTTGAAATAACATAAAGATGAGTTCTTTATAACCCTTAAAATAATTATTTTAAATTTTTACTCATCAAATTTAATTCTTTCTAACCCATAAATATGAGTTTCTTTAATATTCTCTAGCAAAGGGGTGTTGAAAAGTAACAGTTAGGGGTGTTGAAAAATAAAACGACACCATAAGGCCCAATAATGCATAAAGAAGGTTGAGCTACAAAAGCTCAATCGATTAGCATGTTATGCTAACCGATTAGAAAAGCTAGAAATATGTATTTCCAGATCAAATTCAAGCTTGCTTTGTGCTTCAAGTAAATCAAATATCAACATTTATGAATATTTCACAAAATCCTGAAGAAATCACAAATCTAGGAGAAGTTCTGTTCTGCAATATTTTAAGTCTTATTGATATCTAAAACTCTTGTGTTAGAAGTTCTTTCAGAACCAGCTCGCATAATGGTGAAAATCTGGCCAGAAGTTCTAAGCTTGTCATACTTCTTAAACACTTAGAAAGATTCTAAGTATTTAGAATTTTGACTTTTTCAACATGAATCTTGACTTATGATTTCCTTGATGAGACAAATTTCACGCCTTGATGAAATATGATTCTTGAAACTTGATTTTGATCTAAAAGTCAAAGTTTGATTTTTCAGTGTGCGAATGACCATTTTGCCCTTGTGAATGACTTTCTTGGAAAATTTGTAATTCAAGGCTTGAAATTGAATGGAAGCAAACCTGAGGGTCCAGGATGATCCTTTGAGAAATTAGAGGGAAAATTTTGGGGTAGAACAATAAGCTTCTAAAGTTGATCATGTTTTGGGTAGAAATCATGATTTTGGAAGTGGAACTTCTGAAGGAGGATCTTCTGAAAGAAATTCACCCTTTGGAGATGATCATGATTCTGAAAGTGGAACCTCTGAAGGCAGAGGTGATCCAACTTTTGAAGATGGTATTTCTGAAGGTAGTGGATCTGACTCCGATGGTGATCCAGACTTTGAAGACATTCAAGGTTCTGGAGAAAGTCCAATTTCCGAAGTAAGTGCTTCTGAAGGGGAAAGCTTTGGTGTCCAAGGTTCTGAAGGTCCAGTTCAGAGGCAACAAAGAGTCAGAAGCATCCCAAGAAGATTTGCAGAGTTTGACATGTTACAAGACACTGAAGTAGACTCTGAAGGAGAAGTTATTCAGTGTGCAATGTTAGTAGACTCTGAACCCATGAGTACGAAAGAGGCTTTTAAGTAGCAAGTTTGTTTGCAGGCCATGAAAGAAGAACTTGATGCTATAGAGAGAAACAAGACTTGGAAGCTGACTGAACTTCCAAAAGGCGAGAAAGCCATCAACGTCAAATGGGTTTTCAAGCAGAAGCTAAAGCCAGATGGATCAATTGGCAAACACAAAGAAAAATTAGTAGCAAGAGGCTTTCTACAAAAACCCGAGCTAGATTACTCTGAAGTGTTTGCACCTGTAGCAAGACATGAAACAATCAGACTAGTAATTGTAATAGCTGCTAACAGGAATTGGCCTCTGATGCATTTAAGGAATTGGTCTCTGATGCATTTAAGGAATTGGCCTCTGATGCAATTAGATGTAAAATCTGCATTTCTGAATGGTCCATTACAATAAGAGGTGTATGTTTCACAACCTCCTGGATTTGAGAAAAAGAATCAAGAAGGGATGGTGTTCAAATTACATAAAGCATTGTATGGATTGAAGCAAGCGCCCAGAGCTTGGAATTTGAAGATTGATTCGTTTTTCAAGGAACAAGGGTTTCAGAAGTGTGAGATGGAGTATGGTGTTTATGTTCAATATACTTCAGAAGGTAATATGATTTTGGTCTGTTTGTATGTTGATGATATATTACTCACAGGAAGTTCTGAACAAGAGATAACTGAGTTCAAGAAAGTTCTGATGAATGCGTTTGAGATGATAGATCTTGGGAAAATGAGTTTCTTTCTAGGGATGAAATTTATGTACTCTGAGAAAGGAATCATTTTGCATCAGATGAAGTATGAACTAAAGCTTCTGAAGAGATTTGAGCTAGAAAATTGCAAGGTTGTTATTACACTTGCTGATACGAATCAGAAGTTGGACTCTGATTCTGATGGAGAGGATGTGGATGCTACAACCTTCAAATAGATGGTTGGTTCTCTAAGATATTTGTGTAATACCATAACTGATATTTGCTATGCAGTTGGAATGATTAGTAGATTTATGAGCAAACCAAAGTGGTCTCATTATCAAGTTACAGTCAGGATTATGAGGTATGTGAATGGAACTCTGAAGTATGGAGTGTTATTTCTGTCTGAAAGAAAGATCGAATCAGAACTTGAGTTATTCTGATTCTGATTGGTGCGGAGATAGAGTTGATAGAAGAACTACTTCTGGGTACTTATTCAAATTTCTGGGAGGTCCTATTTCCTGGTGTTCAAAGAAACAACATGTTGTTGCACTGTCAACTTGTGAAGTTGAATATATTGCAGGCGCTCTGACTGTGTGTCAAGCTGTGTGGATTATGAACTTGCTGAAAGATCTGAAGATTGAGGTAAATAAACCTTTGAAGCTGATGATTGATAACAAGTCTGCAATCAATCTTGCAAAGAATCCAGTGTTGCATGGGAGAAACAAGTATATTGAGACTAAGTATCATTTTTTTGAGGAATCAAGTTCAAAATGAAATATTAAAAGTTGTACACTGTAGCACCCAGAAGCAGCTGACAAATATTTTGACAAAGACTATCAAAACTGATCAATTTCTTGGTTTAAGGGATAAAATTGATGTTGTCAGTTTTTGGTAAATATAAATTAAATGATGATGTTAAAATTAATTTAGATTTTATAATTAATTAGATATTAATTTATATTTAGAAATATCTTTTAGATTGTTTATATCTTTGTTAGAAGATATATATCTTAGATCTTCTTATATCTTTGTTAAAAGATATATATTTTAGATTTAATTTTGTGTATAAATATCCTAGTGAAATAGGTTATTATAATTCATTATAAATCTTTATTTTAAAACTGTTCGTAAATATATTTCTTTTGTCTTTCATCTCTTCTTTGTGTACTAACAAATATTATTTTATTTTAAATAGGTATTATAAATAATACTTATAGTATAATATTGATTCGTATGTTTTACAACATAAGTGAAACGAACTAGTAAATAACTGAATAACTCTGTTGATAGAGTAGTTTCCCCATGAATAAAAATTAATTAAATAATTGAATAACTCAGTTTGCAGAGTATGTTTCTCACCGAAAAGCAACTACTATCCACAACGAATCTTACAGCAAATCAAAATAAAGTATTTTAAATCCAACGCTCGATGTTTCAAGTTCCCTGCTCACACGGATCGCTAACAATCCAACGGTTACATTTCCACAGCTGAACCCTATATAAACTACGACTTCTCCACCATCAAATAGAAAAAGCGACTTCCATCACAACAAGCTTCATCCGAGAAAAAACTCAAGAAATCAGAGAGCTATGTCAGGAAGAGGCAAGGGAGGAAAAGGTCTCGGAAAGGGAGGAGCTAAACGACACCGTAAGGTTCTCAGAGACAACATTCAGGGAATAACAAAGCCTGCAATTCGTCGTCTTGCAAGACGTGGTGGCGTGAAGCGCATCAGCGGGTTAATCTATGAAGAAACTCGCGGTGTTCTCAAGATCTTTCTTGAGAACGTGATTCGCGATGCTGTGACCTACACTGAGCATGCTCGCCGTAAGACTGTTACCGCGATGGATGTTGTTTATGCTCTCAAGAGGCAGGGTAGGACTCTTTACGGATTCGGTGGTTAGATAGAAATTTAGGGTTTGTTGTATTTCGGATCTCAATGTTGATGTGTATTGTGTAATAGCACTCGAGCTTTAGCATTAATGTGGTTTTAGCTTTGCTCTGTAATTAATTGATGATTTGAATTTTCAATCTTGTTCAAACCATGGCTCTGTTGTGTTTACTTGTTAATTATGTGGTGCTTGATTGGATTTTCTTTTTAAAATCATTCCAATCATTTTTTATTAATAACTTCAATATTTTTCATGTTTTTCTGTTTGAAATAACTATGGTTGAGGTTTGCTGTGAATGAGTGGAAGTTATTGAAAATTTTACCTCACTGGGGTTTGATTGCTGCACATTAAACAGTCATTTCTATATGTCCATAATCTCAACAAACTAATGCAGAGGTTAAAAACAACCGCTGATTTGTCAAACATGCATCGAAGGAATAAATGGTCTCTGTATTCATTAGTTCGGTGGCTCATGGGACAACTACCATCTACTTGTATAGTTTTTTTCATCAGCTGAGCTTTAGTTGATATGATGTTCTTTGATAGTCTTCAAAGAAGATTTCCACTTTATGAGTTTGGAGATTCTGGGTATCATGCTGATTCTTAGGAGTTTTTGAGTAGGTCTAACAGAACATTCCCCATCCTTCTCTCAATACCAAATGATTTTATCTTTCGATAGTCTAGAAATATGGATGCTTAAGATTTGTTTTTCGTCTCATTGCTTCGTGTTTGTGTCTATCAACATTGATAAATGGCTTGTATCCTCTATACCTCGCATAATACTTCTAACCTTAAAGTATGTTTAATTAGGAAGTCGAAATTCCTTCCATACCATCACTTTTAGCCCATTACCAATCTCTATTTCACTCCTTTGTCCATTAAGATGGTGGTCGATGCTGCTAATTTCGACAGAATCTCTCATGCTGAAACGGCGAAGGAGGCATAGATATTTTGGTGAAGTATTACGAAGGAAGTGAGAAAGTCAAGGTTGTCAAGTTACAAACTTTGCGTCGACAAATGAGTTATTGTCAATGAGAGAATATGAAAAAATTGTAGAATATGTGTCAGAGGTTCAAAAACTTGTCCATCTCATGAAGGGTGTGGTGAAACCATAACTGATAAGATGATAGTCGAGAAGGTAATGAGAACGTTGACATCTCACTTTGATCACGTTATCGTAGCTATTCAAGAATCCAACAATCTTGAAACCACTAAAGTGGAAGATTTGGTTGGTTCGTAGGAGGCACATGAGATGACGTTTGTCGAAAGGAAATGAGTGCAAAACTCGATACAGGCTTTGCAAGCTTGGTCATGAAAAAAGGATGGTGATTCCAACAAATTCAAAAGCAAATTCGACAAGACTTAGGGCAAGAAGTCTTGGTCGAAACCTCATAAACATCAAATCAAAGATGGAGCTTCTGAGTCCTCGAAAGGAGGAGGAGGAAATTACCGAAAGGGAAAAGAAGGTAAAAAAAGGAGTGCAGTGTTATAACTGTGAAAAGTGGGGTCATGTAGCCAAAAATTATTGGTACAGAAAAGACAAGGGATCAGCAATGAAGGACGAAGGAGCGAACCTTGCACGCCAAGATTCAGATGATTATGAAGGTGGTATAATGGTTATGGCTGCATTTGCAAATAACCACGTCAAATCTAAAATCTGGTTTCTCGACTCAGGCTGCTTGAACCACATGACTGGTCGAAAGGAGTGGTTGGCAATATTTTGACGAGTCGAAGGAGAACAAGGTAAAACTTGCTGATAATAGTTCGTTGCAAGCAAAAAGGTACTGGAAAATAGACTTTCAAATGAGTAATGAAGGGAAAGCTATGATCAAAGATGTGTTTTATATACCTGGAATAAAGTGAAACTTTCTAAGTGTTGGGCAACTAGTCGAAAAAGCTTTCTCAGTTGTCATGAAAGATGGAGTTTTGAAATTGTTCGACACCAAGAATAATTTGGTCTTAAAATCTTCGTTGTCGAAGAATGGGACATTTAAGACTATGATCAGTTCGACTGAAGTTCAACGTTTAAAAATTGTTGTTGACCACAAGGATAGTTGGTTGTGGCATTTGAGGTTTGGACATTTGAATTTTCGATCACTCAATCAACTGATTACTCAAGATATGGTTACTGGAATTCCAAGTCTTGAGATGCCTGAAAAACTTTGTGAAGGTTGTTTAGTAGGAAAGCAATCCAGAAATTCTTTCGTTTCGACTATGCCAATGAGATCATCTTGCATACTCGAGATGATACATTCAAATGTATGTGGTCCATTCAAAGAACATACAATTGGTGGAAACATATATTTTGTTTCGTTTGTCGATGAGTTTAGTAGAAAGCTATGGATCTATGTGATCAAACAAAATGACGAAGTATTCGAAATTTTTAAGAGATTCAAGATACTTGTTGAAAACTAGAGTGAGTAGAAGATCAAAGTTCTACGAACAGATGGAGGTGTCGAATACACATCCAAGATGTTTGAAGATTTCTATGCACAACATGGTGTTGATCATGAGGTAACTGCTCCTTATACACCTCAACATAATGGAATTGTTAAAAGAAGAAACATAACCATATTAGATATGGCGAGATGCATGCTAAAGCAAAAGAATTTGCCAAAGTCTTTATGTGGAGAAGCTGTTTTGACTGCAGTTTATATTTTGAATAGGTGTCATATCAAGATATTTAATAATGAAGTTCTTGAAGAAGTATGGAGTGGAAAATGACCATCAGTGATTCATTTGAAGGTGTTTGGCTCTAAGTGTTACAATCATGTTCCTGATGCAAGAAGAAGCAAGCTTGATGGCAAGAGTGAACCTATGATTCTGGTAGGATATCATAAAATTGGTGCATACAGACTATTCAATCCAGTTAATGAGAAGATTGTGTTGAGTCGAGATATTATGATTAATAAAAATTCTGCATGGGATTGGAATTCTAGTAATTTAATTAACAAGCCATTGATGAGTTATGATGTCGATGAAGAAACTGATGAAGTAAAGGTCGAAGGAATTATTGAGAATTCAGTCGAAGCCGAAGAAGAAGCAGTTGTTGACATTCCCGACACAGTCGAAGTCGAAGAGGTTGTGGCTGAAACAAGCCAAAGACCTTAAAGAAATAAAGTTCGTCCAACAAGACTTCATGATTATGAAGTGGTTGGTGATGATGAAGTCACACCAGATGGAGAATTAGTTCATTTTGCTTTACTTCCAGGCGCTGAACCAATTAACTATAACGAGACTTTGAAGACTAAATAGTGAAAGTTAGCTATGGTCTAAGAGTTACATGCAATCGAAAGAAGTAACACATGGGAGTTAGTCGAATTGCCAACACATACAAAAGCTATCAAAGTAAAGTTGGTATTCAAGTTGAAACATAATGTTTATGGCTCGATAGCAATATATAAAGCAAGATTAGTAGCTCTAGGGTTTCTTAAAAAAAAGGACTTGAATACTCTGAAGTATTTTCTCCAGTAGCAAGATTGGAGACTGTTCGACTAGTGGTAGCATTGGCATGCAACCAAGGCTGGTCGACATTTCATTTAGATGTGAAATTAACATTTCTGAATGTTCCTTTAGACAAAGAGGTCTATGTAACACAACCTCTAGGATTTGTGATTCAGAAGAAAGTGAGTAAAGTTTATAAGTTGCACAAAGAGCTCTATGGCCTCAAGCAGGCACCTAGGGCATGGAACAAGAAGATCGACTCATACTTAGTCGAATTGGGATTTGTCAATTGAAAATATGAGTATGGTGTCTATCTTCAGGTTTTAGCACAATATATAACAACCATTAGCTTATATGTTGATGACTTGCTAGTAACTAGAAATAGCTTGGATAACTTGTCAAAGTTCAAAGAGCTGATGATGAAAGAATTTGAAATGTCTGATATAGGAAAATTGTCTTATTTCTTAGGTGCGGAATTTCAAATGCCGAAGCAAGGTATGTTGCTACATCAAAGGAAGTATGTCAAAGAAATACTCAAGAGATTCCAAATGGATGATTTGAATCCTACATCCTCACCTGTCGAACCAAATGTAAAATTGGAGAAGAATGTAGAGGAAGACAATGTCGATGTAACTTTGTTCAAGCAAATTGTGGGATCTCTGAGGTACGTGTGTAACAGTCGACCTGATATAGGTTTCATTGTAGGATTAGTAAGCATATATATATATATATATAAGTGAACCAATAGTGTCACATATGAAGGCTGCAAGAAGAATCCTGAGATATTTGAAGGATTCAATAAATTATGGAATAATATTTCGACGAGATTCGAAAGATAAAGAAGCAATAGTTAATTGTTTTTCAGATGCTGATTAGTGTGGAGATAAGGAAGATCGAAGAAGCACAACTGGATATTTCTTTCAAGTATTTGGTGCCCCAATCTCATAGTGTTCGAAGAAACAACTTGTGGGGGCATTATCATCTTGTGAAGCTGAATATATAGCAGGATCTTATGCTGCATGTCAAGGAATTTGGATCAGATCTATACTTGAAGAAATGAAGGTCGAAGTGAAGAAACCTCTTATATTGCAAATCGACAATAAGTCAGCCATAAATATGGCGAAGAATCCAGTTCTGCATGAAACAAGTAGACATATTGAAGCAAGGTTTCACTTCTCGAGGGAAAAGGTAAATCTAGGTGAACTTGAAGTAACGTATTACTCGAGTGAAGCATAGTTGGCCGACATTTTCACCAAAGGATTGAAGATTGACAAATTCCTAAATTTGAGAAAGAAATTAGGAATAGTTCAGATTGACTATTTTTGAGGATGTTCGACAACTTGGATTATGGGGGTGTATTAAAATATTAAATTAGATTTGTTAAAATATTAGATTAGATTAGATTTAATATTTAAATATAATCCAAGTTTTGTAGACCCAGACCCAATTAGAGTTGTATATAAATAGTCCTAGTCTGTATCATTATTTGTATATTTAAATAATATAAATCCTTATTTCCTTTATTATTATCCCTTTCTCTACTCACTAAAGTGCCTCACGCACTAACA